CCAGCACGCCCCTGCGGGCGGTTTATCCTTCAAGCTCGGGTCCTCTACCAGAGGCCTGGGAGCTTGAGGGTCCTGCGCAGTATCTTAGCTGTTCCCAGGACTGCGCTCTTCTGGACAGAGATCTCCGATGTTATTCCCGGGATCTGCTGGAGCCACTCGCCTAGCTTGGGAGTCACCGCACCTAGTGCTCCGATTACCACGGGGACCACCGTTACCTTCACCCTCCACATCCTCTCGAGCTCTTCTCTGAGCCCTTGGTATTTCTCCAGCTTCTCGTGTTCCTTCTTCCTGATATTGCTGTCATTCGGAACCGCTACATCGATCACTACGGCCGTCTTCTTCTGTTTGTCTACCACCACTATGTCCGGTTGGTTAGCCACCACCATTTTGTCCGTCTGTATCTGGAAGTCCCACAGGATCTTAGCTCGGTCATTCTCCACCACCCTTGGGGGCATCTCCCATTTTGACCTCGGGACTTCCAGGTTATACTCGGCACAGATGTTCCTGTACACTATGCCGGCCACTTGGTTTGGCGTTCCATGTATGCCTTATAGCATCCATATATATATTTTTATATATATATATATATATATTATTATATATATATATATAATATATATATATATATATATTATAAAATAAAACAATACAACAACAAACATTGCTTCTGAAATGAGATCAAATGTCAACAGAAAACTAAAAAAAAATCAAATCAAATAAGTCTAAATCCAGTAATTTAAAGTTTTAAGGTCAAATTTGATCTAAGTGAGAATACCACAGTCTCCTGGGTGAAAGGCCTTTGCTTGCCTTATTTATCCACAGAGATCTCTGGGATGCACTTTGTTCTACTATACTGAATGGGCTTAGCTTGAAAAACTTCAATAAATATTTTCTACATATCACAAGTGACAACAACAGCCTCTGTTGTTTTGAATAAATTGAAGTAAAGTGAAACTATCACCTGAATGAGGAGCATATTTCTGTTAATACTATACCATAGTTGGGGTTTCTGGACCTGGAAAGTCTGAATTACTAAAGGGGCAAAAGTCATATTCATTAATGAAATGATTTTTTGTAAATGAAATATTTTTTTCTACTTTTTGTCATTCTCACTGTGAATTGACATCATGATTGATTGAAGGAAGAAGTGTTACAATAGAAAGGCACAATCTACTGAGTTTAAAGGAAGCAATCAAAATCCACACCAAAACCTAGTGGGTTCTTTCTTTGCTCGTGCTTCACCTCTTTATCAAGTTTCATGAAATCTGGCTCGGTAGTTTTTGTGTAATCCCGCTGACAGACACCCCCGGTGAGGCCCTCCACATGGCAGAAAAACAATGGAAAACTCGTTGTAATTACAGGCATGAAAAAACTGTTAATCCTTAGAGCCCTGTCACTGCCAATCTAGACACTTTATTGTTTTTTTTTAAACATTTCTGGCTCTGGGAGTTCTCAGTGAAGCTTTGACTGAACACACAGCCATAAAGATAGGATATCGGCTCTCTCAGCAAACATGTTTTGGTACCTGAATGTGGAAAATGTGGATGAAAGACATCTGTAAGTGGCGAGGAGCGAAGCTGCCTCCATGCAAAAAAGATGAGGCCGGATAAGGAGGAAGCTATTTGTTCTGATGCCACTAAAGTCAGGCTAATTAATTTCAGTCAGACGTGCTTTGCTGTCAACATCCTTTGGCTTTATTAATGGATTTCATATTATCTGATTCTGACTGGTATTTGCATTCTGAAAGAGTGGGGATGTATTTGTTGATTTTTCCTACCATCCTTCATTTGCCAATAATATTGTGTTTGTGTGTGCAAAGTAAATGACATCGTGAGAGCGCGCTTTCATTTTATATGGCAAAATGTAGGTATCACTATACAGGATTTCATAGGCAGAGGTTTCTCATGAACAACTGTCATCTCCACCTACACCTTTTGGTTTCATGATTGTGGGTCCAACTCCAACTCACATAAGGAGTAATGCATTTTTAATCGTGTGAGGGTTTCCTAGCACTTCATGTGCCTGCTGTCTGCTGTCTAAAAAAACATAGTCGGGGACAGGAGAGAAATAGTGTGTCACATTCTGAATATTTTAAAGCCTAAAATGAAACATTTATGCTCTAAATAATGAACTTACAACCTCTATTCTCTGACTTTACATTAGAGAATATACAAAACAAGACACCTTTGTTCAGCTCGCCTAGGTCTTTGCATCATTCATTTGCTTCTTCACAATGGCTATAAGTAACAGACTCCCTTCATGCCTTTGTTTTCTGACTTTGAAATGGATCCCAGGAGAAATAATGAAAGCCTCCGTTGTTAGTTTCAGTCATATCTCCCGACACTCAGTGTGGCTTCAGTGTTTTGCATAATGTCCATGAATAATGGACCCATCTTGGAGGTACAGTCCCAAATACAACCTAGTTTTAGCAGAAAATCCCATTTGAGCATTGCTGTGAGTTCACCTGCACCGCGTAGAGCACGTAACACTCGGCGCTTCACTTGACTGAATTATTGCGTGCCATAGTCAGTGTGGGCTCTCCCCATCATCATCTCCAAATGATCAACAGTAGGGCAGCAGTAATAGATTTTGTAACAGCTGTTTTAGGCAGGTCAAGTCTGGCTTGTCTGTTTTAGTAAAAGGTAAAAAACATTTAGAATGTGAAATTGTGTTCTTGTGTACAGTACTGTGCCCTAAAAACAGCCTTTGTGAGGTTATCTGTTGAGTCACCATTTGGGTAAAGACAAGACTGTCCAGTATGGAAGATTTCTCTCCCTCCCATTCTATTTAAAAGTAGAATGGGAGGGAGAGCCTTCAGTTTTCAGGCCCCTCTTCTGCAGAACCAGATTCCAGTTTGGATTTGGGAGACAGACACTATCTCTACTTTTAAGATAACGCTTAAAACTTTCCTTTTTGCTAAAGCATACAGATGTGCATCATGGGAATCCCCCAGCAGCCTATAGCGTCACCTGATCCAGCCCTGAGTATTTTTCACTCACTGTGTGTTAACAGACCTCTCTGCACTGAATCATACTTGTTATTAATCTCTGGCTCTCTTCCACAGCATGTCCTTCATCCTGTCTTCCTTCTCTCACCCCAACTGGCCGCCCCTCCCTGAGCCTGTTTGTGCCAGAGGTTTCTTCCTGTTAAAAGGGAGTTTTTCCTTCCCACTATCACCAAAGTGTTTGCTGTGTTTTTCTCTATATTGCAAGGTAGACCCTACAATAATACATACAGAGCGCCTTGAGGCGACTGTTGTTGTGATCTGGCGCTGTATAAATAAAATAGAATCTCTGCAGTACTGGCATAGTTTACGTCTTATCAGTACAGCAACTCCTTCCAGCTGCTGTACTGACCTTCTGCTAGCCAAATTGGAGGTCCTCATCTCCTGCCCAGTGGTATCAGTAGTTCTCAACCATCTGACTTAATAATACAACGATGCACTTGAACTCTTGGCTTTTTCTGCTTAATTCAAAATGATTTCGCATTGTTAAAAAAAAAAAACAATTTAAAAAAAAAATTTAAAAAAAAAAAAAAAATATATATATATATAGATAGATATATATATATAATATTATATATTATATATATATATGACATTGTAGTTTATAGTCGCCAGTCGATCGTGTAGTTTAACATGATTATTTCCTGTGCTTACTTCCTTTTGGGATGTGAGTAAAACATTAAGGAGCAAATCTTAAGCAATCGTGACTTCCTGATTTCACTTCCAAGTGGGGAGTAAAAGATTAAGATGTCAGAGTGCGCCATCATAATGTCTCTATGGGAAGTGAAAGAGTGAGGGATGAATTTAGGCTCTGACATTGGAGTTTTACCACCATCCTTGCCCACACACTGTTGTTACTTCCATGTACAAATGACAGTGCCTGGCCCACACTTATTTTCCCAGTCTGCCATCCTCCAAATGTACATGAAGACAGTGAGTGGGGAGTGACAATAACAACTCTTCTTTGAAGAGGAATGTATACTCAGAGGCTATACTCAGATGTGGGGGTGGAGGTGGTGCCAAAGAAGTGATGCATGAACAGCAGCAAGCATAGATTTCAGTGGGAAACAAGCAAATTTAGAAAATAAGTGAGCAAAGCACTAATGATATAAGTGCAAACGAGTTTCAGTAGCAGGATGCACTATGTGAGAACAGTTAAATTGACTGCCTAAACTATGTTCTACTGTATCTGTAAATTTGATCACAGCCAAAACTGCACACAAAGCAGGTGTTTCACTGTATTAATAAAGCAATAATAGCAGCCATTAAGATGTGTAAACTATGAAGAGTGTGTAGCCAACTGTCTTGCAGAACCCACATGTATCTGCAAGATAAATGCTTTTAATTGCCGCCCGAAAGAGAGTGAAGATCAATGACTGACATTCTTTGTCAGCTCTAATTTGCCTGGTTATATTTAGCCGTTATTTTGATGCAAGTTCTCGGGAGGAATCTACAGGCTTCAATCGAAGTTTCATGTGTGTGCTAAAATCTCCGAGAGCTAATTCTGCTGTTTTACAAATTCCAAATACTTGAAGTGTGTTATGGGTCGAGGTTGGTGGATTATAAACATACCTGTGGGAAAAAAGCAGCAAAGAAAAGGTGGATTCAAATCCACTCTTCTAAGACAGAGATAATATTAACATTCCCAAAAACACAACATTGGATTCAGTATTTTTTTAAAAACCTCACAATTAGACGCAGGGTTGGGCTGAGGTGAAGGAAATGTGCTGAAGCAAACAGTTTGTGAGATGGTGTAATTTAATTTCCATATCAAAAGCATAATATGTATTGAATGTTTGCAGCGAGGGCTGCAGTGCTTTTGTATTTTTCTTTGATGTGGACACATTTGTGTTCAGACAAACACATTCTTGGCTCTTCTCGAAGGATTCGACTGGCTGCTTAGCACAGACTTCAGGCTGCACGTCTCTTTCTGCCTTTATTCTTCTCTAACACGGGTTGTCAGATCTTTATATTGACTCTACTTTTCTCTTCCCAGGAGTACCAGATCGATATTATCTTCGCCCAGACTTGGGTGGACACCCGTCTGAGGTATAACAGCAGCAGCATGCGGATTCTAACCCTCAACAGGTATATTAGATTTAGTAAAGACATACTATAAAGTTTAGCAAAGACATACTGCAAATATACAGGAACGTTTATTAAAAAAACTCCTAAATATATCAGCTTTGTGGGTGAATCAATACCAATGTAGTGATAATTATACTAGATCTCTTTTTTAAAATGAACTACTGCTGTGGCTATTTTTCACCACTTTAGCATCTACTATTTGAACATTTTCATATGATAAAGCAATATTCTTCACTCCCTCTGTCTCTCTCTCTTTGGAAGAGGTCTGTAATTAATGGAACAAATTGATTGATGTGCTTTGTTTTCCCCTAGTTGCCCGAGTATTTTATTATGCTCTTATTGGGAATGAGTGCAGCCTCGTGCATTTCAAAGAAATCTGAGGGAATCAGTCTTACCTCCTTTCCTCTCTCTCTCTGTATCAATTTCCCTCTTTTTCAACCAGCAATATGGTCGGTCTGATCTGGCTGCCCGACACCATCTTTAGAAATTCCAAGAACGCCGATTCTCACTGGATAACGACGCCCAATCAGCTGCTCCGGATCTGGAACAATGGGAAAATACTTTATACTCTGAGGTAAAACCCTTCAAAACACATGGAAACACACAGAACAGGAAGATAAAAGAACAAAAATCGAGAGCAGACATATCACAGCCAATGACTGCTGGTAAAAAAAATCTTTTCATGAGAAATACTCCCTCTATTCTGATTCTTAATGCCAACTGTATATTGTGGCTAAACAAAATTCTGCCACCAGTGTTGACATTGAGTACAGACAATAAAAGACATTTGGACTTTAGTCTGTCTAAAGAGCCAGATGGATGAACCTATCTGTATGGGACCATAGCAATCCAGATTTGTGGCTGCAAAAAAGACAAAAGAAGAAAGAAGTCAATGAGGAAAGACTTCTGTTGGCTTTACTGGCAGATTCACTGTTTTTTCATACATTTTAAATTAAGTCCAAAAACAGTACCAGAAAACAGGATTTACCTGTGATATTATTGGCCAACAACTTGTGACTGACAAGTCATTAGCCAATCAGGCTGCAATCTCACAGTCACATGTGCCCCTCGTTATCATGTTTGATTTCGAAAGACCAAGATGGCAACAAAAGAAAGAATTTGAAGCTATGGGTGATGTCACTGTAGCTCCGTCTGTAATTTAGTGTTATAACTCTTTAAATGTTTCTTGTTGCCCCCTGGTGGGATGTGAAGGTATTGCAAGTGGGTCTTTTACAATAAATATATGTTTTTGTTAAAGGAAAAAAAAGTTTCATTTTGTAGCTTTGTCTAAAATCAATTGTTTATATTCACAAAGAAATAAAAAAGAAAGAAGTCATCACATTTGAAAATCCAAACCCTAATTTCTCTGATACTTTGTCCTTAGCAGGAAAGAGCTAAAACTGGAGCATTGGCTGTCAGCTGCCAAAAGTAAATCTTTGAAAGTAGAATCAACCTGAACATGCAGATTGCTATCCATTTGTATCTTGTCTTTCTGTTAAAGAGATGAGACTTGCCTTTCTTAAGGTGTTCTGTGACTGAAGTCTAATAATTAATACCAATAGACCGCATTGATAGAACTATGAATAGTCAACTGATCACTGCGTATGGCTACCCCTCCTTCAGGCTGGTTCTGCCAGAGGTTTCTTCCTGTTGAAAGGGAGTTTTTCCTTCCCACTGTCACTAAGTGCTTGCTTATAGGGGCTCATGCGATTTTGGGGGTTTCTTTGGAATACTTTAGGGTCTTGACCTTGTGAATAAGCGGCATATAAATGAAACTGTTTAATATATATTATTGTTTGTTAGATGGCGTTATCTTCCTTTCCATTCATGCAGAACGGGCCAGTGTATGCTATGTTTGAGGAGGTAACAAAAGGAACAACAGGGTGCTTTCCTTTAGCATTCAAAGACCAGCCATTATTATAGCTGCGCCATATTATACCGCTCACGGTAATACCGGTACAATGCTAGGCAATGATAAGAAAATGAATTATCGCGATAGAATATGGGTAGAACGCGCATGCGCATTGATGAAAAAGCACGGCGTAATGGAGAATGAGAATGGGGAAAGCAGATTGTTGAGTGAAACGGATGAACCAGAATTAGACTGTAAAAATGGTGCAACTTAACTGGTTTGGTGTTTGTCTGTCAGATACACAACAAAGCACATTTTTTTGTAGAACATGCAAGCGGCCGTCGTTATTGCCGTAGGCCTATTTGTCAGACTAAGGTGCTCGTAAATCTGGGAGTAATCTGGGTCCTAAACTCCGTCCTTTAAGGTCTCGAAGTCAAACGAATATCAAAAACTGTCTAAATTCTTCCATCTTTAATAAAACGATCAGCGTTGCTGCTTTACCAGGTGTAACTATGATGTTTAACACCCAGGCATCCATGAAAACAGAATTCATTACATTTAACAGAGTTAGAAGTTAGCGGAAGTTAGCTCGCTAGTTTCGCTAGTTACCTAAGCATGATATAGCATGTTCTGACTGAGAGATTTCTGAAAAAATCTAACGTACAGCTCTGCTATCACTTCCAACATAAATGAAGACAGGAAACTAAACAGCAGTGACGTTTGTAGGGTTACTGAAGTTGGGCTAGCTGGTATATAATGATGTGCTACGTGATCGCTAGCGACACAGCTATGTTAGCATAACATAAACAGTGAAGCTGGAGGATGAACGCTAACACTTTTCCACTCGATAAAAGTTAACGTGAAGGTTCCTGATGGTTAGAGACAAATGCAATCGCATGGCAGGATGCTGTAAACGGACCAAACTTCAGTCAGGAGAACAACTGAGATAATCCATCCACAATATGAGGTTAGTCATTAATATACTGCAACAACATTGGAATAGAGCAGCTGTGATAGAATACAGCATTAATGAATCAATGGTACAGAAGTGGAGGAAGCAAGAAGAATGAGTTGAATAAAGTTTGATTTATCTGACTGCTTTGTTTCGCTTAATGTGCCTTATAATCCCGTGCACCTTATGGTCCGAAAAATACATATTTGACTTTTTTATTTGGCACACTGCAGTTTAATGTAGCAAAGCACCTCTTTTTAACTTCAGTGGATATTATACATGGTTATGCTCAGGATATGTCAGCCCATTTCTACTGGAAATGCCTTTTGGTTAAACTTTCAGCAAGGAATTTGCATTTGCACTGTTAATTTTTATAAAGCTTTAATGTACATAAAAAACAGCTTCTTGTTTAAGTGAAAATAAATGGAGGGTTTTTTTGCGCTAGTAAAGTTGTGGAGTTGTATTTTGTCTCGCAGAAATTATATCGTCAGTTATATCGTTATCGCAAATTTTCAAATATATATCGTGATATATATTTTTGGCCATATTGCCCTGCTCTAGCTGCCATGCAAAAACACCTTCAGGAATAAAATTCACAAAGACATAGACAAACAGGAAGACACAGACAGAGAAAAACAGAAGGCAGATCCAGAACAATAAAGAGTAAAATAAAATCTCAGGAACATTACAGTTGTATAAATCATTTTAGTAACAGCAAATAATCTGATATTGGTTGTTGTAGAAAGCAGCACCTCCCACACATACAGAACACACAGCAATGCGATTTTGATTTGTATCTTTTTAAATTCTAACTGCATCTTTCACCCTTTACATGAGTTTCTGTACCACATAGCATTCTTTACCTTTGGTGCAGTAAGATAAAACCCTTGTGTTTCTTTTCATTTTGTTGCTTTCGCTCTGACAGCCTTTCAGTGGCTGAGTAATGACACACAGGTGAAGGTGATGGCCTTATGACAACCCCCCCACCCCCACCCACCCAACTGTGTGACTGCACCTACAACAGAAAACACTCAGGATTCGAGTGGACGGGTTCCTTTTAAATTGGAGTGGCATCTGGGTTTATTAGTCCTCAAGCTCTGACATGAGCTTTTTTTCTGTCTTGAAGATCAAATTTCACCTGTGCATCTAGTATTTCGAGCTAGAGCTGGCCTAATGGCAAGGAACCACTTTGAGTGTTTGTTTTCAGACATTTTGTGGAGCTGATGCACAGCTGCTGCTATTTCAGGACAGTTCAGGTCCCGTCATGGAGGCAAATAAATTCAATAAACAGCATTTCCCAAAATGACTAGGGTGTAAGACTCTGGCATTTCATTCCTTTGTCTTGACTGGCAAATTTCGGTTAGTTCCCTGGGTATGCTGTGATGTCTGCTTGTGCAAATACTCAGAAGGGAGCCACTTTTCAGACAGCCCACTTCCATTTTTAATTTATGGGAGGAATAATTGTAGCAGGATGATTTTGGATGTTGTAGAGGTTAATAACAGTGTGATCATGAACTTCTAAATTGAGCCATAAATATGCCTGTTATCAACAGGGGTTCAATATTAAAATGCACTGCTGTGAAACACCAAGTTTATACCTGCACTAATCAATATTTTAATATCAACAAAAGACTTAATGATTATCTTTAATGTGAAAGAGGTCACTTGTGGTGACACACCCACAGGAATTAGCAGCCGATGTGGCTGTTTCCATCAACTCTACAAAGTATTTCAGTAGCAGTTAAAGGGGAGTTCAAAAAATCATTTTGTAATCTGATACTGGATCTTAAAACAGAAGAAAGCTGTCTTCAGTAGAAGAGGGAACTGAACTAAAATTTTCTGATTGGCTGCATCTCCAAAACAGGTTTGAAAAGCAGGTGGGTGGGGCTTGTGGTGAATTGGCCAGTTGTAATGTAGGGCTTTTCTATTTTTCTTGAGCACTCATAGCGCTTTATACAACATGCCTCATTCACACAAACACACTTGGCCTAAAAGTTTTTGCTTTTAAGAGCTCATTTTATTTTTTCTAGCGTTTCTTTCTGTGATGAATTTGAAAAGTCTTGCTTCGTTAGCAGGTTATTAAGTGTCAAAGAGACATATATTTAGGCCATATTCGCCTTGACTGACACATCTCTCTCATCTCCGCCGTGTTCGTTGCTGCTTGTTCTTTTTCACCTCAGCTCCACTCTCACAATTTGGCTTTTCCGACTCCCGACAAGGATGGAAGCAAAAATGCAAATTGAAACTGTACATCATCTGCACTTTGTTCACCTCGGAACAAGACGAGCGAGGCAGCCCCCTTCCTGCTTTGACAAAGGCTCCTCTTTTGTGCTCCAAGTCAGGCGTTTAATGAGGAATTGTAGCAGCGACAAAGACACAACAACACAAGTCAAAGAAAAAGCCCATTTTCATGACTGTCATTTTTACAGCCCTTATCATTTTGATTTATTAAAGTGACACGTAGAGCATATAACTTGAATTGGATTTAAGTTTTTACCTTACTTGTATGATGTGTCTTTTTAATCACTGCTGCTTTTCCTTAACAGCCTGTGTATTGACTTGTCCAGTGATCTTAGCTGAGAACTGCTGTTTTTAGAAGCTGACATGCCTTGGAGTCCTGACATGTGTGAAAAACCAGACCTGATACTGATGATGAAACATTTGTGCCATTTTCAGGGATTTTACACATCAACCAAGCAACCAAGTGTGAACCTGTACTATCTGGGTGGAAGCCAGTGCTCTTATACTGTAGTGCATAATGTGATATAAGCAGTGATGAATCCAGTGCACTCAGACCATGTGCTTCATGGGCCGAGAAATGAAGCATCCAAAGCAGTTTACTGCCTTGAATATCTTTGTCTAAGTGCTTCTGTCCCTCTGCACTTGTCTTACTCTTCAGGATGACCATCAACGCAGAGTGCCAGCTGCAGCTCCATAATTTCCCAATGGATGAACACTCCTGTCCTCTCGTCTTCTCTAGCTGTGAGTATTGGGATTAGCATGCACACAGACACGGAAAACACACATAAATATGCAGATACTCGTGCCTATACACCTCTAGGGCAAGACTTTGAAAGCAGGCGGGAAACGTCCTGGAGAAAAAATGGAAACCAAATAGAAAGTGAACTAAAGGCTAAGCGAAAAAGTGCTATCAGTCAATCAAACTTTATTTGTATAGCATCTTTTGTGTGGGCTAGTGCAGTTCAAAGTGCCTTACAGATGACTGAAAGTATGAAAACAGTAAAGAAACATATTAAGGACTTATTTAGGTATTAAAATCACTGGAGCATTTGAGCATCATTCAGTGATGAGTGTCAGGGCTGGGTCTTTTTTTCCCTCCCAAACTATGAATTTGAGTTCATGTAATGGTAATCCCCCACACACAATAACTAAGAAGTGAGAAAAGAGAAAGCAGCTTTTTGGATAATACACTTTGCATATTAATCATCAAGGAACTGACCTAACAGTAGGGGTGGGAGAAAAAAATCGATACTGTGTAGTATCGTGATATTTTGTTTGCTAATAATGTATCGATACAGGGACAGCAGAAATCGATATTTTGTTACAAACAATTTTTTTGTGAACTGGATGGTTGTATTCAGTTAAAATGGTAAATGGTAAATGGCCTGCATTTGTATAGCACTTTTCTAGTCCCTAAGGACCCCAAAGCGCTTCACACTACATTCAGTCATTCACCCATTCACACACTGAACTTAACATTCCAGTTAAGTTGGACTAGACTGTAATACAAACCGTTCAGTTTGTCAACAATAAAACTGACTGAAATGAGAGAAAGACTGAGTGTGAGACTTTGATATTAGTTAAAATGAATATTGATAAAGTTTACCTTTATGTACAGAATTTGAATATTGCAAAATATTTT